TTTATCATGTTCTGTATAAATAAGAAGTATGAAATCATTATATTCAATTCTGAAGTGCTCTGTTTCGCTTTGAAACAGAGCATCATTTTCCCCAATTGTTTATACAGACTCCAGTGAATATGGTAGCTTTGGTTGGCTCTAAGAAATTAAGTAATTGAGATTTATCGGCGTACTGCGTCGACATGATTTCAAGAGGTTCTTGCAGAGTGTAATGCGGCCTTCTTCTCGAGTATCTCTCGCTCGTTTACGCGTCCGTAAACGTCTCGAAAGAGTCTTCTTAACCCTGAGTAACGCGATACTCCCTCGCAAAACGTGCACATTTTTCCGGTTTATATTTCATTAGTGTACTTGCCAAGTTCCTTTGTTTAGAGAATTAGCAAACGAATGCAATAATAGTACATTAGAAAATCGTGTGCATTAGAGAAGTAACTTATTGTTGAACGATTTTACTAAATTATGCCATGTACGATCATTAATTAAACTTATTCTTGTACTTTGACAAATCCAAATGTATTTAAATCAGATGTTATAATGAAATCGATGAATGATAGGTAATTTTAACCAGTTAACTGTGTCGATCATTTTGCAAAGTGCGCCCCAGTGTGTGTCGCGATAATCAAGCGATGACGGATATAGTCGTCAAACACAGAGTAAGTGGCGCTGTTGAAATATTGGGTCAAAAAGACGACTTTATTTTAGAAAATGAATGAATTTATTCACAGATATAGCCGTCATAACACAAAATTCTGCCATTCTTCCATGACGGATATAGTCGTCAAACACACTTAACTGGTTAACTGATGTATAGTATTCTTATCCTACATAAAGTATTCCGGTGAAAGGGTTACACGGGCTTTAAGAAATCCCCATATTCCCATTCACTCAACGCGTTCCATCGGTGCCACCCGAAATTAGACATTCCCGTCTCATCGTCCTCCCGGATTCATTCGCGTTATCCCGACGCGTGGAAGCGCGACGAAAATGGAACCTAGACGCTTCGCCGGAATAATTTGCAGTTTTCACGAACGACAGAGCGAACAGGATAAGTTCGGAAGTGTGGCAGTGCTCGCATAAGTTAGTTAAAGTTAAGTCGTTTCCAGCCAGAATTTGTTTTTGCAACTAGGTGAGACTTGGTTATATTAACGCGACTTAGTAGCAGTCGCGAGCCATAGAGAATTTTTTACACATTTTATATTCATTGTCTCTTGTTTAGATCAATCGATGTCAGATTATAAGAAAGAGTAGGCTCATTCACGGTAGCAGCAACTATGATCTCATGACCAACAGATTCGTCCGGGCTCTATTTTAAAAGCTTAGGCTTAAGCTTTGAAGCTTACAATTTCTAAAGCAAATTATTTAAAGCAAGTAACTTCTAACAAAAATATTTCAGGCAATAGTTGAGTACCGTGATTAGAAAGCTGGTAAATTTTTGTAACTGTGAAATGAATAATGAGAAATTCTATTTAAACGTAAGAAGAGAATGTTTGCTGTAGTGTAATGACTCTCGTCTATAAATATCTTTGAATAAATTAAGAACTTTCAAAACCTAGAAATAACCTCATACCAAATTGGATATTCTGTTAAAAGTATCAAAGTTTAACTGAATTTTGGAGAGAGCAAAGTTTTCTTGTTAGAGAGAAACACTTTAATAATGCACTAAAATTCACATTCTGCTGTTACAAAGTATAATCACTTTTTCAATAGGAGCTAATAAAAATACAAATAATCATTTGGATAAATCAATATCGAAGTTTTCTTTAATCCATTGAATCACTTTATTACAATTGACGGTTTTATTAATTTTGTTTTAGTAAAACCACTGGTCGTGCAGATTTTGACCAAAGAGCCCCGAGTATCCGCCGGCAAGAAGTACGATGTGGAATGCAGGACGTCTGGTTCCAGGCCGGAGGCGGTCATTACATGGTGGAAGGCGAATAAGCAGATAAAGACAATGGCTCAAAACGTAAGTTTTTATCGAACGCGAACAATTTCCGCGAACGTCGATACTGGCTGGTAGAACGTGTTCATTTCGTAAAACATTTATTATCACGGGAATATTGTCCAGCGGCAACGATAATTGATTCGTTCTTTATTCGCGGCGTAATTTTATCGCACGGAACGAACGATACACACCCGAAGGAAACGCGTTGTTATTAAAAACAACGCGGAACGTATTTCGCGATAATTAAAATCGTTCCACCACCTATAATTAAAATTTGTCCGAAATAGGTGGTAGCGCGCGTCCTTTAATACTATTTCCTTTCACCGACCCCAGTGCTCTGATTGGGGACTATTCTCTCGCTCGTGAAAATTGTTTATTCTCGGGAATATAATTCATGTAGCAATTTTTTATTACTTTCCTAAAATCGCTTCGGGAAATAAAAGTTCGTTGTTAGATATGCTTCGTACACGAAATGACATCGCTGTCCACGATTTTAATTACGCTATCACGCGTACTTTCATCGTAAAGGAGAAATCGATGACGACAAGACTAGTAATGTTCCTTTAAAAATAAGCTTTGGCAGCATTTGGAATGCAAATCAGTGAAGAAAATTATGTAAAAGGACTACCGCGCAGTCGTTCGTCGACGCAGCGAATCGGATCGACCGCGTTAGCGTTTCGAGAATCGGAGTTATGTGTCAGCGGCGGGTTTCTAAAAGAGAATTTCCGAAACCGGCGGCCCCCGCAAGTTTTCGTAATTCGGTACGATTCGTCGGAAAGTTACGACGGATGAAGTTGCTCCGTTTTCCCGACGACGAGTTCGCTTCTTTTCCGATTCAGTTGACCCGAATCAACACCTCCCCTCGCGGCGGAACGCGCGCGAACAAGTTCGAGTTCTCAGATATTTTTCACCCTCGAATCGATGGCCCCGAGGTGAAACACGACAGAAGTGGTGTATCGATCATCTCGAGGGAAACGAGCTGACGAATTACCCAGCGCTGTCAATCGGAGCTGTCAGGATCCATTATAACGCGAAAGATTTGATTTGTTTTCGCGGACCAGATTTGCCGGAATTTCTGCGCGGATAAGTTTCCATGTCCGCGCGTATCCGACGTGAACGGCTGGGCCAAGCGGTACGGGCCAACTCGCGCGCAATCGTCCCACAGGATACGCACGTATCGAACGCTCGACCGTCCGGAGAGCTTTATCGGGAAATTCGATCGCCTCGCAACGAGGCTAACGGCTATGGTACGCGATGGAGCTTACGCTGGAGAAATGAGAGAGGAACCGTCAGCGTGACGCGAATGCGACCAAAAACGAGGAAAATAAACGGAGAGCGACGTCGGGCCGCGCAGCGAGCACGGGAAAAATGGAAGAGGGAATATCGGCGTAGGTGGCTCGCGACGCTGCATTCATCCCGACGAACCGTTACCTCCATTCATCGTCGCTCGCGATACTGAGGCTGCTGTACCCGCGACCTTCCTCGATATGCATGCCTGGTGGCGCTATCATTAAAATGACATCGCGGTAACCTTCCGGTTATACCGCGACGCGATATACCTAAGGGAAACAGAAAATTCACCGGTTCAATCGTTCAGTTCGGCTTACAGCCTTCTCCATTTGCCGTGACTGTATCGTAAATCCCCCGAAAAATCGTTAATCCGTTTCGCGAGCCTGCCCCCGGTTCACCGCTCGGTCCCCTTCCCCCCGTTTCATTCCGCGCGGCGACCCGCGCCCGCATTGAATGGAGTTTCATATTAAACCGGTGACAAATCGTTCCGACGTTAACGCTGCATAAAGGCTATTATTAGGTTGGCGCGTGCGAAATATTTTTCCCGGAATTTCTGAATTTCCCGGCTCGGAATCGTCTGTCAAATTTTATCCCGTCGTCGATAATCGCTCAGCCGTAGCGAAAATTAAGTAACCTGATGCAATGCCCGTGCATTAAACGCCAGCGGAGTTTAATAGAGATTGTACTAATATGTCACAACTGTATTATCTACCATTTTATATTCACGCGATATTTCCATGGTACAAGCGCGGACGATTGACCGGATAAAATTAAATTAATACGATGAGTAACGTCCGAATGAATTTCTGTTGAAAGTATCCGCTGGAGAACAATCAGAGCCTGAGTATCTTGAGTTTCACGCCAAGCGTAGAGGACGATGGCAAGTATCTGACTTGTCGGGCGAAGAACCCTATCATCCCTGATAGCTCATTGGAGGACAAGTGGAGACTGGATGTACAATATCAGCCAGTGGTCACCCTTAAGATGGGCAAGACTTTGAAGCCGGACGATATTAAGGAGGGCGACGACGTCTACTTCGATTGCATGGTCAAGGCGAATCCGAAAGCTTACAAGCTCGTCTGGTTCAAGGATGTAAGTTATTTAACAGATATTAATACTCCATTCTTTCATTTTCATTAACGTAACGATAAAATGAATGAAATTCTTTTATATAATGAAAAAATAAGTAAAAATGAAACCATGCTGGTTAACAAATATTCATTCCTACAGTACTGTGAGTATAAAGTGTTGTATGTGTTTCAGGGAAAAGAACTGAAGAATAATGCTACGGCAGGTATCGTCCTCAGCGATCAGTCTCTCATTCTTCGACGAATAACCCGATACTCAGCGGGTGATTACACTTGTCTCGCTGCCAACAACGAAGGGAAGACTACTAGCAACCCGGTGAACCTTCAGATAATGTGTAAGTGACTTTACATGAAATTTTTCCAATTTATTTTGCTCCTAAGTCAACCAAAGTTACTATTCCGTGAATGTTTAAACAAAAGTACGTGAAACGTTCATGCACTTTGTCATTTAGCAAATGTTGTTTTAAATGTTTAATTGGTAAAGTGCGAGTAATCGATTTGCAATTACATTCGCGAATTATCAAACTTGCCAACACGATTAGGACTTAAATGAGACGACATTGCGAGTAAAATTTCGACCGAAACAACAACGTTCTCCGTTGCGGTCGCGCGAAAGCGTCCCGTTGACTCGATCCCGAGAGTCCGCCGCTCATTAATCAGGAGAACAACGGAAAAGGTCACGAATACAATTGCGGCCTGGGCTTGATATTCTCAGTCCGATTCTCTAATTTGCCAGTTCTCGCCTCGGCTCCCTCGATAATTACTTAATCAATGGGAAGCAACGGCCGAGAACGCGTTTGCCTGGATTCGGAGGAGAGTCGGAAGGATCATTCGTCGTCCCCCGGTTGGAGAGCCGTCGAGAATGGGACGGAAAGGCGAAAAGGGGACGGGCGGAGGGAGGATAGTTTTCTGTAAAACACATAGCGCGAGTTATTCTATTAGAATGGTCGACGGCGGTAGCCTAGCGTATCTGCATCTTGTAAATGACCTAAGAGGGAAGGAAGGACTCCGATGCATATTCAGTGTATGTAAAGCGTAACTGAATATTCATGTGTGGGTGAACGCAGTCTGGCAATGTGCTAACCCAACCCGGCGATGCGATGGGCCCGGAACGCGAAGCTAAAAGGGAACCGCGAATCCATCCCAGTGTTTTAACCTCCTCTGTCATACGACCGGGCCGGCGATGGTCCACTGACATTGATCCCTAAGAGTCTTACCGCCAAAGTCGTGTCTCAGATTGAATCGTGTATGTTGACAAATTTGATTAACAGTGCATCTTGATGCTGCATTAGAATTTTCAATTTCGCAGCTTTAATCCAATGCCATTCGCAACGTCGTCTCTGAATCCGTAGAACCAAGCGTTGAAAATCGGAATTTTAATATTAATGCGATTCAATTTGGATACAGAAAAATTTATCTCTCAATTCCTTTACTTCTTTTATTCCCATTGCTCCTCTTAAGAGATGAAATTAATCTCTCGTGACGCCCCGTAGTACATAGTTTCACGCATATAGTGTAAGATTCATATTTCAGTTAGATTTGAAAGCAAACTGCAGTATCGCAAAACGTTGCGCTCCATCTGCTACCTAAGCTTCTACTACGAGGACCCGTTTAGTGTAATTTATTCTCCTAATAGCTCGACAGGCAAATTCCACATAATGTACAGCCTTCCTATGCTCGTGAGCCTTACTGCGCGGTCGTATTCGTAAGACAGCGTTACACGCGTCCCGATTAACATCAAGCGGCTGGTAATGCGTACTAATCAGTAGCCGTGCCGCACTGTGCGTTTCAGTCGACAAATGCACTCCCGGCAACGCGCACCTATGTGCATGCATCCACGTATGTGCCACCGGGTATCGTCGACTTCTCGTATTAGTAATTAATTCGGCAGTGCATCAAATGCATCAGATTGAAACCGAGCACGTCTGGTGATTCCGTAGTTCCGTCGTAAATCATCGCCGCCATTCGGAATTTCCGTATGCCGCAGCCTATTGCAAATACCGATGTCAAGAGAATTTCCTATTAGGCGATCGATCGAATACCCCTCCTCGACTCTGCTTCCAC